TTTTTTTTTTTTTTTTTTTTTTTTTAGTTTTCATGTTTGCTTGTTCTGCTTGGAAATTCATTTTTATGATAATTTTTGAAATATTAACTTTCTTTGTGGTTACCTTGTTGTCTACTAACTTTTCTCTCCATTTAAGATAATCCATTGTATCTTGTAATTTACCTGGCATCCTCACCACCTGGGTCTCTGTTGTTATGTTTGTCTCTTCTTTGATATTGATATAGTTTTGATCTTCAGTTGACCTCTCACCTCGTTTGAGTTTGTTGTTGCAGTCTTGTTCTCTTGTGTACTCTTGTTATATGTTGACTGAGTTCCAGGTGGTGTTGCCACACCTGTCAATCTCTTTTTGTTGTCTTTTCTTGTTGGTTTTCAGTCCACAGAACTCCCTTTAGGATGTTTTGAAGTGCTGGGTTGGTTTTGATAAAATCCCTCAGATTCTGTTTATCATGGAATGTCTTGATTGCACCATCATATTTGACAATTTTGCTGGAAAAACGATTCTTGGTTGACAGTTTTTTTTCCTGTAGGGCTTTGTATATGTCTCCCCATTGCCTTCTTGCCTGCATGGTTTGTTCTGAATAGTCAGAGCTGAATGTAATTTGCTTTATTTTATAAGTGACATTTCTCTTCTTCCTGACTGCTTTTAATATTCTTTCCTTGTCTTTGATTTTGGAGAGCTTGATTATTATATGTCTTGGTGACTTTCTTTTGGGGTCTATCCTTCCTAGGGTACGTTCGGCTTCTTGAATGTTTATCTTCTCATCTTTCAAAATGTTAGGGTAGTTTACTTCCAGAAGCTCTTCAACTATTTCCTCCGTGGACTTCTCTGATTCTTCCTGTTCTGGAATGCTAATAATTCTTAAATTGTTACTCTTCATATTATCCAGCATGAATCTTAGACTCTCTTCAGATTTTTTAATCCTTTTTTTCAGCTTGCTCTTCTACCTTAGCTGTCTTGAGATATTTGTCTTCTATCTCGCTAGTTTTGGCTTCCATCTCTACTATTCTGCTTCTTTCCCCTTTCAGCATATTGTCCACTTCTGATATCTTATTATTGATCATCTGGACATCTTTTTGCAGGTTTTGAATTGTTTTCAATGCTGTATCATTTTTTATTGCTCCTGTAGTAATTTCCTAACTTCTTCTTTGTTTTCCTCCACCCTTTTTTGGAGCATTTGAATTTGTTTCCATATCAGTCTTCTGAATTCTTTCTCAGGCCTATCCAAACCCTACTCTCCCCCTCCTCTAAAAAGCCTTTGTCTGTTTCCAGATCATTTGCACCGGCTACTCTATTCTGTTTTTAAAAGTGTTTCAATATTGATTGTTGCTTTTTCTTCGTCATGATAGTTATGTCTTTTTTTTTAAAAAAAAAAAAAAAAAAAAAAAAAAGCTTAAGTGAATGTTTGTTGTTGAGCTTACTGGGTGTCTCCTGGTGAATATGATCAGGAGATTGGCTTTCCTTTTCCCAAGTAATGCTTAGCAGGTGTTTTTGGGTCTTGTCTTAGTGGTGGAATATTACATGCTATGTTTATAGCTTGGCTATATGACCACGATTGCTGTCTCTTCCTGGGTAATGTAAGGAGAAAAAGCTCCCACCTCCAGGAAAGATGTATGATCAAAAGGACCAAAAGCAGAAATACTATAAATGTATAGACAAAAATCACCACTTTGGGATAGAAATTAAGCTGTGGTCGACTGTCCCGAGCTACACCGTCAGTGTGTGTGCTATTAGAAGCCTCCAGCAGGGGCTGGGGGTGTCCACTTTCTCAGGCCCCTCCTCTAGTCACTACAGTAGAGTTGTGCAAGTTGATATTGGTGAGTTAATGGGACAAAGATTGTCCACTATTTTTGTCTCTAAAGGTCAGTTAGGTATCTGTGTGTGCCCGGTGCAATTCTCAGGATAGCTGAGTCCTGCTATGCCAGGGTTTTACAGACTGCTTTGAATTGGTCCTGCGCAGGGAGCTCGGACAGCGCAGCACCTGCGGCCTCAAGGTCAGCAGCTGGAAACCACCAGCCACACCACGGGAGAAAGGCGAGGTGCTTTGCCCCCTCTCAGACCCACATCCCTGAAAATCCTGCATAGGGTCGTCTGAAGTCTGAACCCACACCACGGTGCAACGACGTGAAGGGTCCTACTGTGGAAACTTTCGGTGTGTGGCTCCGCGGGTAACATAAGTCACCGCCAAGCTCCCTCTCTCTGTACATTGGGAAAACTGTCCCTCCTGATGTCCGTGCTCAGCAATGAAAGTGGGACATGGAGAGATGTCTCTGCACCACTTTTAGCAGTTTTCTGTGCCAGACTGGTTTTAGCCCTGCCCTCTAATCTCTGCCAGGACAGGATAGTCGCTGAGGGAGCCCTATCTCCAGATTCTAACTCGCCATGTTTTCTATTATTGTGATTTGTTTCATTTGCGAGTGTGGTAAACTGAAGTCCTGGATCTTATGGTAGGGCCAGAGCTCTGAAGTTGTTCTATGAGCACTTCCTTCGTGAGATCCCCCTTCCCCTCTCACCGGAGTGTACCCTACCTGTTTTTTGTTGCTATAGCCCCAACCAGAAGTCCCCTCCCTCTGCATTAACTTTTGTTTTTTTTTTAATGAATAGCTTTTATTGTGAATTGAATGACAGGTTTAGTGTAATACCAATGTTCTCCCATGTAAACTATCTTATTTTGTTTCATTGCAATGATTATAATCCCCTCCATGCATCATCGGTTAACAGTATTTGCTTCTATCCTCTGTGTTTTTTGTGGGTTATTTTGATGTTCACAAAAACACATTATATAATCTTTTAAATAACCAAAGGGCAGATTCTGAAAGCCTGCCTCCTGGCTGCGAGCACACCGTCTTTGTCTTTCCATTTGTCTAGACTCCATGCCATCACTTCTGTCCTTATCTCTGGTGTCACTGCTTTTCTGGTTAGGGTCCCATATTCCACTCATGCTCTTCTCTCAGTGGTCCTAGAGTCCTTTATTCCTGGAATGTAAGATTTAACTACTCCCCCTTTTGATTATACAACTTATACATTTGTGACCATCGCAATTAGTCATAACAGTTACTCACTACTGAATCAAATGAATCCTATCCCAGTCTCGTTTTACCAGACCCATCTAGACATCTAGAAAACTATTAAATGGAGACTCTGCTTTCCTCTACACACTCTGAAACTAAACTCTAAACTCTCTCTTGAAAATTTGTAAGCCAGCTACTTTGTGCCTTTATAGTCCCTTTACCCATTTTAGGTATAACCAATGTTTACTTTTTTTTGTATTTTCTTTTCTCAATTTCTCTTTGAATGCTAATCTCATTGATATTCAGCCTTTCATAGTATATGTATTTAATGCACTCAATTTTCAGTTATTTTAGTTATTAGCTACTTAAGAATATTTTCAGTGTTTCGTGGGGCTGACTTTTTTTGACCCAAAAGTTGCTCATAAACCCTATGGTTACATTACGTGCTGAGCTTCAAACCAAGAGGCTGGTGGTTCAAACTCACCAGCTGTTCCATGAAAGAAAAGTGATAGACATCTTCTGTAAAGTTTTCCAGCCTATGGGGCAGTTCAACTCTGTCCTACAATATCACTGTAAGAATCTCCCCAAGATGATTTTGTTCCCTAAAGTTATCAAACCCTCTTGCTTCTCTCCTCCCCTTCCTTCACATGCCTTACAATATGATGCATGCATACTAGTTGTTAAGTGCCATCCAGTAGGTTCTGATTCATAGCAACCATTTATAGGGTTTCCAATGAGCAGCTGGTGGATTTGAATTGCTGACATTGGGGTTAGCAGTCTAGTGTATATCTTAATGTACCACACCATTTTAAATCTTTTTTCTTTTAATTTTTACAGGAAAAAACTTTATGACTGATGATTCAGTCTGTGTGCTGGGAATAAGCAAAAGAAACCTTATTTTTCAACCAGTTGCAGACTTAAAGAAGGACACAGATTTTGAGTAAGTACATAAATAAATAATTCTAAAAAAAAATGGGAAGCATGAAATGAAAATGGGAGTTAATAACGGAAGATAGGAAGCATAGAGGACCTGTACTACGATAGTTGTTTTAAGTAACTCATTTGAGTATTTTAAGTACCGCATTAACGTCATCGTCTCTGCCTCTATCTCTGGAGTCACTGCTTCTCTGGGTAGGGTCTTGCATTACGCTTTTCTCCCTCAATGGTCCCAGGGACCTCCACTGCTGGGCTGCAAAGTCAGCCAATCCCCTTTGTTTTGTTACAAAATGTCAACCTTTAAATTTCCAACCCTCACAGTCAGTCCTGATAGTAATACTCACTAAAATGAGTCCCCAAGTCTTGCCACATTGCTGGCTAACCAGGTCTCCACCTGGGTTCACAGGAGTGTACTGAATATGGTAGGGCTTAGCTTGCTACTTCATTGCTGTTTTTTCCTTACCTCCGCATATAGTTTACCAACATGGTCATCGGTCAGAGCGCATGTCTGCTCGTGTATCCCCATTGAGTCTTACCATGGAAGGGGGTTTCCCCTGAGGGGGCCTGACCACTTGCCTTGATGTCTCCTGTGCAAGCAACTTGTTTGTTCTTGTCAATTTTGTTAATCCTTTCAACAAACCAGCTTCTTGTCCTGTTGATTCTTTCTATCTCATTTATTTCTGCTCTAATCTTTATCATGTCTTTTCTTTTGGTCACTGTAGGTTCCCTCAGTTGGTCTGTTTCTAATGGTTATAGATGCTGTGTTATTTATTCTACTCCCCAGTCGCTTTTCAGCAGGGTGTTATTCAGTTTCCCTATTATTTGACTTTATTTCCTTGGTCTCCCTATTGTTGACTTCTAATGTGATAGTATTGCAGTCTGAGAAGATACTTTGTGTAGTGTTTTGATATTTGTAAATGCATGGAGGTTTATTTTAGGCCTAACACATGGTTTATTCTGGACAATGTTCCATGTGTACTGGAAAAGAATATGTATTGGGCAGTTGTTGGGTTGAATGCTCTGTACACATCTATGAGGTACAGTTGGCTGATTGTGTTGTTTAGTTCCTCTGTGTCTTTGTCAAGTTTCTTTCTGGTTGTTCTATCCATTTTTTAAAGCGGTGTATTAAAATAACCCACTATTTGTAGATTGATATATTTTGGAGCTCTTTCATTGGGAGCATGTCCATCTTTATTATATGCTGTTTTTTGCCTTGAAGTTTATTTTATGGGAGATTAGTACTGTTACTCCTGTTCATTTTTTTATTGCAATTAGCTTGGTATATTCTTTTCCATCCTTTGACTTTTAATCTGTTTTTGTCTGTGTGTGAGATGTGTCTCTTGTAGACAGCATATTGAAGGATCTTGTTTACTTATCCTTTCTGCCACCCTGCTTCTCTGGATGCTGTGCAACATTCCACCTATTGTCTTGGGTAATGCAGAGGCTCCACAGGAAGCCTCCTCACTGGGCACGTTTTGTATCCCCCTTTTAGGTATTCCAATCAGTTATAGGCAGAAGACGAACTTACAAGCTTTCTATGGTGGTATTTCTGGCTAGTCCTTTCTCTCCCCCTCCAGTGTCTATTTTATAGTGGTATGCCAGGGGAAACCAAGATTCAATAGACAGCCAAATATCTTAACGTTATTTCCCCCCCTTTCCCATTCAAACCATGTCTCAATTTCTGTATCCCAGAGCCCTGTTGTTTCCAAGGTTTTGCATGCTTCATTATTTGAATCTGTCCCACTTCACCTTCATTCTATCGTATTTCATTTCATGACAATGATTAAAATCCAGTCTGTGCATCATCAAATAACCAAAGGACACAACCCACAGGCCTCCCCCCCACCCCCAAAGCTGTCAGCAAACACTCATCTCCCTCCCTGAGTCCCATGTCCCCAGCCATTCCATTTGTCCATGCTATCATAGTCCCCCCATCATTTTGGGTCTGGGTAGTTTCTAGAACCCCCCCAAAGGTGTTCCAGTTACTTATAGGTTGGATCCCGGCCCACAAGTTTTCTGTTGTGATGCTTCTGGCTGTTTCTATTTCACAATGGTAGGCAAGGGAGACCAAGATTCAAAAGACAGCCAAGCATCCTAACATTGTTCCTCTCTTTTCCCCCTTTCAAGCCATGCCTCAATCCCTGTATCCTGAAGCCCTGTTATTCCAATGTTGTGCATACCTCGTCTTTTAGCTCTGTCCCACCTATCTCATGCGAATCTACCCAACCATTCTCCCATCTGTCTTGTTCTCCTTTTTCCTCAAGGAGCTCTGGTAGCGTAGTGATTACGAATCAGGCTGTTAAACTCAAGATCGGCAGTTCAAAACTACCAGCTGTTCCGTAGGAGACAGATGAGGCTTTCTGCTCCCAAAAAGATTTACAGCCTCAGAAACCCTGTACAGGGTCACTATTGAGTTGGAACCGACTCCACAGTACTTACCAACAACTTATTGTGTATTGCCAGCCTTCCCTGCTCCCAGGCTCTCCTGTGTCTATTCCCTACTCTGTACTGTTTCTTCCCCTCCCTCCTCACCTCATCCCTACATACTGGTGATCAGCACTTATATTTTTAGATCCCTCCCCTTTTGGGTGGGTTCTTTTTCTTAGTCTTTTAAAATATTGGTCTTATGCAGTATTTCTCCTTTTGTGAGTAATTTCACTCAGTATAATATCCTCAGGGTTCATCCACGTTATGTGATGGCTTGTGGCTTCCTTGTTCTTCAAGGTAGCATAGTATTCCATTGTGTGTATGTACCACAGTTTATCTAGTCTTCAATTGATGGGTATTTTTGTTGTCTCCATCTTTTTGCTATTGTAAATAGTGTGCATATATCTACTCGTGTTATGGCTCATATTTCTTGTGGGTAAATATCAAGTAGAGGAATTGCTGGGTTATATGGTAATTCTGTTTCCAACCTTCTGAGGAAGTGCCATATTGTTTTCCACAGTGGTTGGACCATTTTGTGTTCCCACCAACAATGTAGGAGGTTCCCAGTCTTTCTGCATCTTCACCAGCATTTGTTGTCCTCTGCTTTTTGATCTTTGCTGTTATTGCTGGTGTGAGATGGTATCTTATTTTGTTTTGATTTGCATCTGATGGCTAGTGATCGTGAACATTTCTTTGTATGCTTGTTGGCTGTCCGGATCTCCTCCTTGGTGAAGTTTCTGTTCATGTCCTGTGCCCATTTTTTAATTGGGTTATTGGTCTTTTTCTTGTAGAGGTTTTATATAGTTTCCTATATATTTTAGAAATGAGTCTCTTCTATGATGTGTCGTTGCAAAATATTTTTTCCCATTCTGTGGGTTCCCTTTTTACTATTTTGGTGAAGTCTTTTGATGCACACAAATTTTTATTTTTAGTATGTCCCCCTTAGCTATTTTGTCTATTTTTGTTGTATACTTTTCAAAATGTTTGGTAGTTTGTATATGCTCTGAATTAGCACCCTTCACATTTGTCCCTATGTTTCCATTGATAACCTTCATAATTTTGGGATTCACATTTAGATCTTTAATCCATGCTGAGTTCATTTTTGTTTAGGGCATGAGGCAAAGGTCTTGTTTCAGTCTTTTACATATCATTTTCCAGTTCTGCCAGCACCATTTGTTAAAGACACTGTCTCCTCCCCATGCAATATGCCTAGGCACTTTGTGAAAAATCATTTGGCTGTATGTGGTTGGGTTAATTTCTGGATTCTCAATTCTGTTCCATTGATCAAGGTATCTTTCATTGTACCAATACCAAGCTGTTTTGGCCACTGTAGCAAAATTTGAAATCCGGTAGTGAGAGACCTCCAACCTTATTGTTCCTTTTAAACAGTTCTTTGCTTATCCTGGGTCTCCTTCCTTTCCATATAAAGTTAGTAATTGTCATTTTAATGTCTTTGTAGAATATTGTTTGAATCTGGATTGGGATTGCATTGTATGTGTAAATTGCATTGGGCTGTATTGACATTTTTATGAGGTTGAGTGTTCCTAATGAGGAACGTGGTATGTTCTTTCACTTCTGTTAGGTCTCTTTTGGTTTCTCGTAGTAGTGTTTTGTAATTTTCTTTGCATAAGTGCTTTGCTTCTCTGGTTACATTTATTCCTAGATATTTCATCCTTTGTGCTGCTATTGAAAATGGTATTGCTTTCACTATCGTTGTTGCTATAGAGAAATCCAACTGATTTTTGAATGTTGATCTTATACCCTGCCACTTTGCTGAATCTTCCAATGAGGTCTAATAGTTTTTTTACTGAGTGTTTGGGGGTTTCTAGGTATAAGATCATATCATCTGCAAATAAGGAGAGTTTTACTTCCTCTTTGCCAATTTGGATGCCTTTAATTTAACTATCATGTGGTGATAAAGGGCATCCTTGTCTGGTTCCCGTTCAGAGGGAAGGCTTTCAGTTTCTCTCCATTTGAGAGTAATGTAGGCAGTTGGTTTTGTATATGTGCTGTTAATTATGTTGAGGAATTTCCCTTTAATTCCTATTTTGTTGAGTGTTTTTTTAACAGGAATGGATGTTGGATTTTGTGAAATGCCTTTTCTGCACCAACTAACCCTCACTACCTGGGTCACTGTTGCTATGTTTGTCCCTTCTTGGACATTGATATAATTTTGATCTTCAGTTGACTTTCCAGCTCCTTTGAGTCTCTTGTTGTAGTCTTGTTCAGTTCTGAGAAAAATATATATATAACTAACAAAACCAAGCAGAATAAGCAAACGTGAAAACTAACAAAATCCAACATCCATTCCTGATAAAAATACTCAACAAAGTAGGAATAGAAGGGAAATTCCTCAACATAATCAATGGCATATATCCCAAACCAAGCAGAAGGAAACATGAAAACTGAAAAGAAAACGACCAGAAATAGCACAAAACACACAAACCCAACACAAGAATGGGAAACTGACGTCCTGGATCTTATGGTAGATCCAGAGCTCTTGAGTTGTTCTACGAGCGCTTCCTTCATGAGATCCCCCTCCATTCTCACTACAGTGTACCCTACCAGGTTTTTGCTGCTATAGCCCCAACTGGGAGTCTCTGAGCTTCTTGAATGTTTATCTTTTCACTTTTCAGGATGTTAGAGACATTTTCCTTTTAGCAGTTCTTCAACTATTTCCTCTGTGGACTTGTATAATTCTTGCTGTTCCAGAATGCCAATAATTCTTAAGTCATTCTTCTTCATGTTGTCCAATATGAATCTTAGACCTTCTTCATATTTTTTAAATTCTTTTTTCTGTTTGCTCGTTTATCTTAGTGGTATATAGTGGTATTGAGAGATTTGTCTTCCAGCTCACTAGTTCTGCTTTCCATCTCTTCTATTCTACTCCTTTGTCCTTTCAGTGTATTGTCTATTTCTCATACTCTATTATTGATCATTTGGACCTCTTTCTGTTAGTTTTGAATTGTTTCCGGTTTTGAACTGTTACCAGTGCTGTATCTGTATTTGTTTCTGTAGTGCTTTCCTGACTTATTTTTCTCAACTCCATTGTAAAATGTTTTGGAACATTTTATAATCATTTTTCTGTATTCCCTCCAGGCATTTCCAAGGCTTGTCCTCCTTCCAGAATGTAGTCCAGGTGAACCTCTAGATCATTTGTCTCAGACATTTTATCTTGTTTATGGACGTGTGCTGATTTTGGTATATTTAATGCTCTCTGATTGCCTCCAAGTAGATGTGATCAGGATGTCGGTTTCCCTTTTCACTCTTCTTACTGCTCAACTCAGTAATTTTCGCAGGTACTGTCTGCCTCCCTGGAGTACGGCAGTTGGTATATTCTTGCCTGGATTGTGGGATTTTATAGGATGTGATTGTAGCTTGACTATATGGCATCAATTGCTGTCTCTTCTTGGGTAATATAGGGAGACAGAGAGTACCCCAAAGGAAAAAAGGGGAATACAAAACAAAAAGGCAGCAGGGAAAAAAATTGGATACTCTAGTGTATAATTGCAGAAAGGGGAAAGGAGTGAAGAAAAATAGAAATCTGTAGTCTGTTATGAATATGATTTTAATATCCTCTTTGAGCTTCTTGCCTTCAATGCCGCCTGATAAATTTTAAGATGCTACTCTCAATTGTTATGCTGTAGCTCAGGATTTAATTTGTGGCCTGTTTTTTTTTTAATTTAAGGTTTTTATTGTGGATTGAGTGAAAGTTTACAGGGCACATCATCACTTTCACATTCAACAATTCATATAACTTGTTTCTTTTCTTTACATTGATTATAATCCCCTCCATATA